CTGAGTCAGTTCCAATAGTCCATTCAGGACTAGGGGAATTACATTTCTAACAATAGCCTGGTCCAACTTCAATATGACTTGTTTCTGTTATTTTCCGCGCTCTTCTCGATATCTGATAAGGCTCTCCATGTTGAACTGTCCACTTATAGCCTGCTTTTAAAGGCAGATTAACCAGTAACAATCTGTATCTGTCTGATGTCCTTCTCACGGACACATAATCTGCGTACTAGAATCGACGCCAACAATGACTGACATAATCTGCCCACTCGAAATTTTCTCATGGACATCATCTGCCCATATTTTTGACAGAGCTTGACTCATGTCCGACATCTGTGCATAACAACATTGTAACACAGGGGCTAGTCCAGTCAGCACCTATTGTATCTCAGTTCAACTAAGTTTTATACTCAGATTCATCAAAGCACAACACATTGCATGTAACACATACATTATACTTCTTGTTTTCAGCATACTTGACGATAAGGATCTCTGGAGACGTTTCAGGGAAAGGGTAGATTACGAGCTGAACTTTCGATGGAACAGAAGCAGTGAAGTCAGACAGCGACGAACGCATGTCAGTCGTGAGGAAGGTTCTGCGCCAGTTTGAATCGAAGTACGCAAGCGATATCGCCTTTGCCTGATATTTCGGATGTAGATGACATCAAAGCTCTGAGATCAGTCCGAATCCGGCAGAAATTGACGGGTTCCTCTGTTCTTGTCAGGAGGTTGAAAATTGAATTTCTGAAGAACGAGCTGAAGATGATAGAAGAAGAGATGACTTCACAAGGGGACTCATTTTTGCGACTTATCTCACTTGAATATGTTTATATGCAGCAAAGAGAGCAACAACTTGGAACTGAAGAACGCAGCTCAAAGACTACAGCAAAGAGCAAATGACATACTCAAGAAAGACCTGATCGTCAAATACACGGAGCTAACTCCAAACGACCATCTCAAAGATGAAGAGAGAAGGTTGTTACGAGATCTCCCTGTCTCAACCGGAACCAGCTCAGCTGTCAACCCCGTCCTCCGCCATCTTTACAACGTTGTCATCGACAGCGACGTGGAGGGAATCGAGACTCTGAAGCAGAAGTTCCGGCGTGAAGGTAGTCGTTTCAGACTTAACGATGCCGACCACCGACAGTACAAGTACTTCATCAGCGCTCCTGGGGTTCCTGCCAGGCTTAAGACAAAGGCCAGGCTATTTCTGAACGAATTACAGGAGGCTGGGGTGGTGGAAGCTCCCAGAAGGAGGTCGGGATATCGGTTTAGATAGATATTGAGTTTCTTTAGACGTGTCTCCACGACCTGGAGCCATGTCTGTTTTCAAATATACTCGGTCCAGTAATGACGAAGCCTCATTCCACACAAATAATGTTTCCATCAAAAGTATTCCATTGGTGAACTTAGTATTCCCATAATTGCAGCTATGTTAAAGTATACTTCACGACCTGGAGCCATTAATGTATGTTTTCCATAAGTAATGCCTTAATATTCAATTTGTGTTCCTGTAATGACTATGTTACGAATGAAACTGATGTGTGTTCTACCAATTGCATTTTATGCCAATTCGAAAACTGCGATATTTCTGAATCACACGGATGTGCTTCAGCCCTTGGAACCTTTATATATATTTTGTATTGTGAGGGTAAGCTACAGAACACTGATGCTGTGATACACTCCTTTAACAAATGGTATTGGAGGTTTTAGTGTTAAAACATGAGAGCACATGTTCAAAATGTATGTTCAGGGTTCGCTCGGGCTTGAAAACCCTGAAATTTGGACAAGTTTTCCCTTAAACGGCTCTAAATTTGTTTTAGTCTAGAAAGGGCCCTAATTGCCAGCAATTTGCCCTAAAAGGCCATATTTTAGCAAAACTTATCAAATTGTGATTTAAGGAAACAAATTGCATAGTAAAATTGCCTTGCAATGACAGAAGGTATTGGTTAATCTCCTACCGCAGATTAATCTCCACCGCAGAACTTTAGCTATAACTACTATGTTAAATGCGTTTCTATAGTTCTTTAAATTGTTGATTGGGCCCTGAAACCTCCCTAAAAGGCCTTAAATTTGATGGCTGATAATCTGTATGAACCCTGATGTATCAAGGCCAAGTCGTCAATCATTCGTCACCACTCGCCCCTTTCCGTAACCTGTGGCTTGTCCCGGAATACAACGAGTTGGTCACGAATGGTCGTCAATAATGTGGGCCTTAAATGATTTCATCTCAGACATCTGATAATTTTATACTAATCCTGGTTGGGTCAATAACATTTATTATTTCATACTGTGATTAATTTAATGAAAAGTTTGAAAATGTTGTACTCCAACTCAGTGATGACGCTGCGTAACTCAACTGCACGGGCTAATTTGCATATCACGTGACCAGACTTTCTCTCTGTCTGTTATTCTCCATTTGGTCTTGACAGTTATAGATAGACATATTCAAAATAACTGCGATGGTGAGGGGCATGGAAATAGGGTTTTTTCATCAAAGTGACTCACCAGCTCTCCGTCGCTTTCATGTCAGCACGCACGAGGGCCAAACAACCAGTGTAAACAAAGGCTAACTATGCAAAGAGAAAAGGTGTTTCACGTTTTAGGATATTATGTCTCCTTATATACATTACATAGGAAATACTGTTTATATAAACATGATAAATGTTTGTCCCATCACAATTCCTTTTCGCTAATTACTGAAAATGATATTTAACTTCATCCATATAGTACTTGCTTTTGTTTAGTGCTATACGCTTGTTTTTAACTGGATTTGATTGTAGGAAGAATAATTCCAGTTTTAATATGATGTAGCTACCATGTAATTACCGACGTTAAATGTCATGTTTGTATTCTTCAATAGACAAGTAATGCAAAATCTCAAACTAGACCATTTACATGCATCCATGACCTACAATAAACATGTTTCTCTAACCTGTTTGATTGACATTTTAGTCAAATTGATGAATAATAAGAAAGATACGATGCTTTATGGATGCTAAAGGTAAGTTGTTATCCACAAAAGCATCGTACCTTTCTTATGTGTTCTACTAACAGTGTTGCCTGGGGTCTTAAGCCAAAGGGCGTAAGTGGGTTAGCCTCCTGAGAAAAGCGTTCCCTAGTGTCACGCCGAAGACCCGGGTTTGATTCCCATTTGGGTACTGATATGTGAAACCCATTTCTGGTGTCCCCACTAATAATTTACTGACACTATATCATTCTATTTTCTTAATTTATTTTTCATGCGCCGTCAATGAATTCTTCAACCGACGCCTGCATTTTTCTTGGCGTTTCCTTTTATATTCACATGTAACGTTTTTCAGATGTTATAGTTATTTTAATTTTAGCATGTAAAACCACGCTATGTGCAAACATTATTGTATTATCATTGTATTGTATTTTTAAATCCTTTATTTGATTACTGAAACAGTTACTATGCTTTCTTTGTATTACGGTATTATTCTTGTCAAGATCGTGCTCCGTGACAATGATATCACCTATGTGTTTACACCCAGATCTCATTCCTGACAATGATATCACACTATCGTAAGTATATTGTGTCAGCCTAACCGTTTTAACTGAACCTGTTACTACACTTTCATTCGCTTTTCTTTATTTGTCGTACAGTTTTCATTTATCGTTTTATAGCAGACATGTACTTGCTCTCATGCTCACGTTCTATCTTATGCCCATGTCTTTTCTGTGATTCTTGGTCAAGGTAATATATTCTTAATGTGTCTCATAAAATGATAGCTTGTTTCTAAACATAAGCGTTGATAGAAGTTAATATTTTGTATAGATATATCTTACAATGAAGTTAAATCGCACCTTCTAGGTTTAACTTAATATCTTAATAAACACGTTTGACGGGTTTTTTGTGTTACGTCAGAACGACCTTTCTTGCTGAAAACATGACACGTTTTATATTCTTTTATTCCCACACCATGTACAGAGTCATAGATAGATAGATAGATAGATAGATGGATGGATGTATGGGTGGATGGATAGATAGAACATGAGGAGTGGATCAGGTGGGTGGTTGAGTTTAGTTTTACGCCACTTTTAGCAATATTCCAGCAATATCATGGTGGGGGACTCCAGAAATGGGCTTCACACATTGTAACCATGTGGAGAATTGAACCCGGGTCTTCGGCGTGATGAGCGAACGCTTTATCCACTAGGCTACCCCACCGCTTCAGTGTGAAGTATTAACCCGTATATACGTTAGTATAGAATAGTATAAAGAGGGTTATTATTTATCATTAATTCTACGTATAAGGACATTACATATTTTTTTTTAAATCACGTCCGCTGACTTCATGATTAACATTGAAAATTTGAACAAGGTTTGGCCTCTAAAGTTTGAAGAGTTGTCTCCCTTTATCATTTACCGTTGATGTACAAGGGATAACAATACATCTCCGACAAGTCAGAGAATCGCTTTCCAGATCAAGAAAGTAAAATGAGTTTTCTGACTTCTTTGACTGTCATTAAAAGAGGTTAGTCATTAGATTGTCTGGTCCAGAATTGATTATGTACAAGCAGCCGCCATATAGCTGTGTGTCGCGTTAAACAAACTGACTAAAATCATCGTCTATCTCTCGCAATCAGCTAGAGAAATCACTCGACTGATTTCGGGAGAAAAATGAATGAGTGCTCAGACTCCCTGAATGAACAGATTCGAGATGTTTTTCTATTACGTATTTAAACGAAAAGAAGAAAAGGTTACTGGGGTGGGGGTGTCACTCAATTTGTTCAGGGAGGTACACGTGTGTGTATTGGGTAGGGGTGTGTCTCATTAATTTTGTACACATGCACTAGGAGGTCATCATTTTTGTACATTTCAATATTAAAAATGTTTGCTTAAAATTATGGGAAGGGGAGGGGTCCATTGATTTTGTACGTGACATGCTGGTTGGTCACTTGCTTTGTACATAAATTTGGGGTCGGGGGTGGGGGTGGTGGTTTTTAGTGCTTCTCTATAAAAGTCATCAACACCCCCCCTAGCCATAAATTATGAACGGCCCCAAAGCAACGAGATATTAATGGAAGCAACGACAAAATAATTGAAGTAATGAGAAGCTATTTGAAATAACGAGAAAGTACTCCAAAAGCACGGGCAAAATAATCGAAGAAATGAGAAAAAAATAGTTTATGTCACAAAAGTGGCAGCTTTAGGCTTTCGTTGAAACGCACAAGTCCGTAGCCCCCGTTCGGACAACGACCCAACTGCGCCAGTTCAGATTTGACGGAATAGAGTTACCTCCCTTTGTACCGCGAACGAACTTTCGGTTTATGTTCTTCGTACCAACACAGTCTCTCTTAAGCGGTAGCAGTGTTTTGCTGATGCCTTGACTCTTTACCGATACACAGTAAGGTACGTGTTTAAAAATATAACACAACATGTAAGAAGCGACTTACATTGAATTACTTGTTGGTAACAGTGTCATTCTGTCAACATTAACAGTTCGCACTGTTTCTATTTGCTTTACATTTGATCTCAATTTGATCCTGATCTCAGTGGTGTCCATGGCGTCTCGCACTCGCGCTATGATTGTGCAATGCAGGTAGGTCCCGGAATGCAAGTGGGTCCCGGATGTGTTAATGCTTTAGGTCAGCAGTATATGTGAGATAATGTATCTGTCAGGTCACAGTGACATGTTATTACCGTACACGTTATGGTAAATATTCAGTTTGTATAATCTGGGTTTCATTACCGTATACGTTATGGTAAATATTCAGTTTAGTATAATATTGGTTTCAAGTATAATATTGATTTCATTACCGTTCACGTTATGGTAAATATTCAGTTTGTATAATTTGGGTTTCATTACCGTACATGTTTGGGTAAATATTCAGTTTGTATAATATTGGTTTCATTACCGTACATGTTTGGGTAAAGATTAAGTTTGTATAATCTGGGTTTCATTACTGTATACGTTATGGTAAATATTCAATGTGTATAATGTGGGTTTTATTACATGTTATGGTAAATATCTGTATTTATAATATATTACCTTATTGTACTCGTTATGGTGAACATCATTAGATGCAATATTTCTCTCACTACCGTCAATGTTATGGTGAATATCAGTGCTTCCTGGTACAGCTAAGGGACGTAACTGCACCGTTTCTCACTACCTGAAGTAAGGGAAGTAGTTCCTTTACCTTAAGTAGGCACGGTTCCGGTAAATTTGATTCTCTTCTCTCAAACACCAGTTATCTGCTCGGTCAAATGTACACCGGTCGCTGCTGGTTCGGGGAGGGTGGGGTAGCCTAGTGGTTAAGGCGTTCGCTCGTCACGCCGAAGACCCGGGTTCGATGCCCCACGTGGGTACAATGTGTTAAAGCCCATTCCTGGTGTCCCCGCCGTGATGTTGCTGGAATATTGCTAAAAGCGGCGTAAAAATAAAATCACTCGCTGCTGGTTCGATTGTACAATAATCGCACAATTACTGTTCATCTTCCTGGGAGAGAATATTGTTTTGCGCCGCTTTCAGCAATATCCGAGAACAATATTACAGCGGTTCACGCATTGCAGTCATGCTGGGAATCGAACCCGGGCATTTGGCGTCATGAGCGAACGCTTTAACAACTTGGCTACCCACTGCCATCATATTACGTTAATCACACAACGTCACACACTGTATAACTGACAATGTCTCGTATTGTGCAGACCGTTTTGCATAGCCCCTCATAATGCAGTAGAGTGTATTCCAGTAAACACACAGTGACTGATAAAAATAGACAATGTCAGGATGTTTTGGTTTGGTTTTGAAGATGGCAGAAGATGGAGTACGTCACAAGGTTGTGGATAACGTCGATGACTGCGTCAAGGCTGTCGATGACCTCCTCCAGGAGCCTGTCGTTGCTGTGGACTGCGAGGGAGTCCATCTTGGAAAGAAGGGCCCTCTCACTCTTCTCAGGTGGCCAAACTAGACGGTTTTGTCTACTTGTTCAATGTGTTTGTTGAGCCAAAAGTCTTCACTGAAGGCCGACTGAAGTCGTTTCTGGAAAACAAAGATGTCATCAAGGTATGATGCCCTGAACAATATGGATGGTTGACATGAACAATGAAGATGCTTCACATAAACAGTGTGGATGTTTGACATAAACAGTGTAGATAGTTGATTTGAACAATGCAGATGTTTGACATGAACAATGTAGTGTTTGACGTGAACAATATGGATTTTTTTCGGCATGGACGATGTTGATGTTTGACAGGAATAATATAGTTGTTTATCATGAACAATGTAGATGTTTGACAGGAATAATATAGATGTTTATCATGAACAATGTAGATGTTTGACAGGGATAATGTAGATGTTTGACAGGAATGATATAGATGTTTGACAGGAACAATATAGATGTTTGGCAGGAATAATGTAGATGTTTGACAGGAATAATATAGACGTTTAACAGGAATAATATAGATGTTTGACAGGAATAATATATAGATGTTTGACAGGAATAATATAGATGTTTGACGTGTTTGACAGGAATAGTGTAGATGTTTGACAGGAATAATGTAGATGTTTATCATGAATAATGAAGATGTTTGACAGGAATAATGGAGATGTTATCATGAATAATGAAGATGTTTATCATGAATAATGTAGATTTTTGACAGGAATAATGTAGATTTCAGACATGAACAAACGGGTTGGTTGACATAAAACAACATCCCTTTATTGTTCTCAGTCAGGACCATCTACCAATCAACGACTCAACATGACCTATAGTTTTGACAGTTTCAATAGCAATGTTAATGCTTCTTCTGTTGTAGGTGTTTCATGCCTGCAGCAACGACAGTGCCGCTCTCAAGAGCCAGTACGAAGTCATGCTCGTCAACGTGTTTGATGTACAGGTAAGCATAAAATGGGGGCGGCGAGGTCGCCTAGTGGTTACACCGAAGACAGGGGGTTCGACTTCCCACATGGGTACAATATGTGAAGCCCATTTCTGGTGTCCACCACCGTGATATTCCTGAAGTATTGCTAAAAGCGCCGTAGAAACCCGTGAAGATGGGTTAGAATTGATCTTCAGTAATCCATGCTTGTCGTAAGAGGAGACTAACGGGATCGGGTGGTCAGGTTCGCTGACTGGGTTGACACATGTCATCGTATCCAAGTTGCGTAGATCGATGTTCATGCTGTTGATCCCTGGATTGTCTGGTCCAGATCCGATTATTTACAGACCGCCGCCAGATAACTGGAATATTGCTGAATGCGGCGTAAAACTAAACTCACTAACTCTCTCAGTATATTAATGACACAGTTGGGAGTACCACAGGTAGCAAGACAGGTAACACCAGAAATATAAACCGTTTCTATTTGTGACTTTCGGGGTCAGTTTGCCACTGTTTATGAGCACAAGACCTACTTACTGGTACCCTGCTGTGCTGTGCTCTATATATTATCATTTGACGAAGAGTCAATGGAGGCTATGTACAAGCAATGGGAAACAACATTACATTTATTTATTTATTTAAAGTTGTTTTTACATGTTAAATTTAACGTGGAATTGTGGACCGTCACTTTGAGATAATCAAGATAACAAAAGTGATTTTAAGACGCAGTTAATTCTCATATCATAATATCTTATCTTATCTTATCTTATCTTATCTTATCAGTTTGCTGGGCATTTTCAGTGTTTATTCAATTGATTCATCATTCTGGTGCCCCTTATTTGTTCGTATATGTTTATGTTCTTTCAGGCGGCACAGTATATTATTGATACGTCCGAAGGGAGACAACTCCCGTCTCACAGGAAGTTGCTGGATTTGTGCAGCTTGTACACAGACGTCACATTGCTTGAGGGGAAAGAAGAAGTTCAAGTAGGACATATTAATCATTTAAGAAACATGTTTGTCATTTACTGACGTCATATAGTTTGATGTATGTTTGACCTTAAGTGTACTTGTGGACACACAGTCTTTCCTTGCTGGAGCGGTGGGGTAGCCTAGTGGTTAAAGCGTTGGCTCGTCACGCCGAAGACCCTGGTTCGAATCCCCACATGGGTACAATGTGTGAAGCCCATTTCTGGTGTCCCCGCCGCGATGTTGCTGGAATATTGCTAAAAGCGGCGTAAAACCAAACTCAGTCAGACAGTCAGCAGTCTTTCCTTGCTTGCGTCATGTAAACACAGTTTGGCTACGATTTAATGAGAATGGCTGAAGGGGTCAATGTCAGGACAGGTACTTTACTGCACTGTCTACAGTACAGATATGTGCGACGGTTAGTTACGTTTCTATACACAGACAGGTACCCTAAATATAGTCAAAATACAGAAACGTACCCGGTACTCTAAACGGGGAACGAGTCCATATTCCCCAACCTGAAACAGAAACCCTATGTGGTTGTTCCTGTTCAACTGATTGCCAATGGTGTTGTGCACCGCGAAATAATCACTCTGTGAATGCTTGGTTTTTGTGTAACGCAATCGAATGCATCTAATACAACAGTATGACAGTTCCGATCAAGAAAACGGCACACTGTGGAATGGTACTTTTGTTTGGTTCTGTTTTCGGGGTATTCATTGTGTGAATGTGAATTCATTGTAAAATTGAAAATTTCAACACGGATTGGCCACTAAATTTGTCTCCCTTTGAACTTAACCAGCACCACCACCACCACAACCTCACCTCCCCTCCTACACACCACCCATCCCAAAACACATTTACAAACAAGCCAACACACAAACACTATCCCAAGATGTCCTTCCCTGGACACTGCAACTCCAGGTTGTTTCCTTAAGCCGTCAAACGCCTCGCATATATTTTCTGGTCCTGCCACTCCCCTTGTTGTTTGGGACACACATGTGCGTGTCGCTCTATATCGGTCATCACGATGTCACGGTTGGATGTGACATGTGTGGAAAAGGCACCGGACTACACAGCATGATACATGTGTATGGTATCTTTAGTCATCTTAATTTACCTGAACATATTTCGGCTGACCTAATAAGATACTACATCATATGATGACACCGTAGCCAATAATATGCTGCACGACATGTAATTGCCGTTTGGATAATGAAGACATGTAGATCTGTGTGCGGGTACTGTTCGGGAGGCCATACTCCGATATATCTCTTGTCTTGAAATCTACCAGCATATTCAGAAATCCTTTGTCACGTGAGTTCACGGACTTGCTTTGTGGAATATGCGTAATGGTCAAAAGCTGAGATAGCAGAAACTGATTGTGCGATTAAAATTCTGTGACATATAACTCAGCGAGCGTGTTGAACAGCGTAAGTTGTAAGTGACTGCAAGGTAATTTGATTGTTGTGTTAACATGACTGCTGCTAGTTGATCTCAGAACTGATGGGCCTTGTGTTGCGATGAACGATGTCAACTACACATATCGTATTGTTGTC